GCTCAGAGCGAGAGGTCACTACCCTGTTTCCCCGAAAATAAGACCTAGCCGGAAAATAAGCCCTCGCATGATTTTAGGTGCCAAAATATGGCACCTTGGCATACTGAATATTTTAAGCTGAAGGAGTTTGTGGAAAAGGCACCCTTCTCCCTGAAACAGGTCATAAAACCTCATGTGAGGGGTGCGTGCCCTCCGCATCCTGGAGGAGTCATGCTACGGCTTATTCTCCGGCTAGGTCTTATTTTCGGGGAAACACGGTATGTATTGATAGAAGGGGATTTGCCACAGGCTTTGCTGGGAGCAAGAGCCCTGGCAGTGACTTAGTTCTTCTGGACATCCTCTCCCAGCCGTTTCCCAAAAGTCTGAGAAAAAGGAAGAGTGGGGAGCAGAAAGGGACAAGATAGGAGGGAGAAGGAGCTGTCCTGTCTACAGAGCAGGCGGCTGCCATCCCAACACCCTCATTCTCCATGGAAACCCTCACACGACTATCTCACTGTACCCTGAGGAACAGAACCTGTTGCCATTCCCCCAAAGAATCGAGCCTTGCTTCGCATAGCCAAACCCACTTCTGAGAAAGATGGGGTGCCCTTTTTGTGTTTTGCAGGACCCCCATGTCAAGCCCATTTTCACTGGTTGGCCATCCTCTCCCTCCCTCGTGGGAGAGGTGGGCAGTGTAGCATGGTGGTTCAGAGTGCAGACTCCGGATCCAGACCACCTGACTCCAAGTGCTGGCGCTGCCACTTACTGGCTGTGTGGCCTTGGGCAAGTTAGTTAATCTCTCTGTACCTTTCCTTTGTCTGAAAATGATGATAATGATAGTCCTGATGTCATAGTGTTGTTGTGAGAATGGAGTTTATCCATGGAAAACACCTAGAAGAGTGCCTGGCACATAGCCTTCACTCAGCAAGTGTTAGCTCTCGTTCCACACCCACAGCTGCAACAGGAGCTCACAGAGGGAGGTGGGGAGTGGGGGCAGGGGTGAGGGTGGAGAGGCAAGTCTAGTGCGCATGCACTCACACATACATGCACAAACACACTCCATCTGTCTACCCACTCAGCCTGTTATACCCACCTTGGGTTTTTTCTTTTTCTGCACAAGGAAAGGAAACAGTAAATGCAGATTAATGAAAAGCAAGTTTCCAGAAAACCCCCTGGCTTTTGGCTTCCCTGTGACGTGGTTGTCAACGTGGGGTGGGTTCCAGTGGTCTAGAAATCCAGGTCACATGGAGCCAAAAGCATCGTGAAGGGTGAAGGGTGAGGAGAATTTTCTACGCCCTGAGTCCGGCAGTGGCTGTGGCTTTGTTTTTATTGTTCACTCTGTTACTGGACACAGCTAAGGAAAGGAAGCTTCTAGCTAACGTTTTGTATTTTTTTATCAGGTTGGTTACAAACAACACACCAACCGAAACCAACCTAAAAATGAATTTTGTTTGATTTATAGTTTGGCAGGGCGTGGGTTTGTTTGTTTGGTCAGCAAATATTTAACATAGGGGAACTTAATATGAAAATTTCGGTTTTGCACTTTTTTTGCAAAATCAGGTCTGGCTGCCTGCACAGACCTGCAACCCCACATGTCAACAATTTGGGAGCAGCTGCTCTGTACCGCCTAGGTCGCCACAGTCACCACCACTCCAGCCATTGCTCCAGCATAGAAGCCAAGTGTCAGTTGAGAACTGCAGGCAAATAGGCCAGCACAGGGACACCAAAACCTCCACACCTGCCTGCCCTACTCAGGTGACATGGCAGCTCCTATAAGCTTTTTGGGTTTGCAACTCCTGATAAACACTCTACAGTGATTACCAACGTCCAGAAGATAAGAATAGCACCAAGTGCACTTAATACCAAAACCAACATCTGTGATCATTCAGAAGGCACTTGGAGATCTAGCATTGGCACAGGGTCTGAATTAGAACCATGAGTGCTCTACCCAGAAGACAGTGCAGTGGGGCATTTGCTGTCTTCTTATTGGCCCAGGACACACTCACAAAGCACAAGGGACTGTTTATGACCCAAGGCCCAAAGCTTCAAAGTAGGACTCCTCAACTAATGGAGACCCCAGCACACACCAACTCTGTGTTTCTAACTCTGGGCCTCACATCCCTGGAGACAGGCCTCAGCATGGGGAGAGAGCCCGAGTCTGGGTTCAGAAAATCCAGGTGTGAGTTCCAACCCTGCCACTTATGAAGTCTGTGAATTCAAGGGAACCATTTAACCACAATAAGCCTCTACTTCCTTACTTGAAAACCAGGGATAATGATCTTATTGCATCGCAGAAACCTTGCAAGGATCAAGTGAGATAATATACGTGAGAAGTACCTTGTAAGGTATAAGACACACACATAACCACCTCTTGAGGGTCTGTGCTGTGCCAGGCACTTCACATACATGATCTCATTGATTTCAAACCTCAAAAAGCCTTGCAAGGCATGTGTTGTTATGCTCATTTGACAGGGTAGGAAACTGAATCAGAGGGGTTGTGTAACTTGTCCCGGTCACCCTGCTAGGAAGTGTAGGACCCGGAAGTGCTGACTGCAGAGCTGGTGTACCTTTTTCTCTCTGTGTGAGATTGCGTCTCAGAATCCAGTATCCGCTGCTGCTCTTGTCATCCCTTCCTCTGGCCTGATCCCTCCCTCTAACTGTTCAAACTTCTCCTTTCTAGGACTCTCTTCTGTACTTCCCAGCCCCTGGACTGATTAAATGGCCCTGGGATCCTAAGGCCCATTACTTCTGGTCACACCAAAGAGAAGTTGCAGTATCCCCCAGCTGGGAGTACCCACCCAGACTCCCATCTCCTGTGGCCAATACCCACGCTCCCCTCCACCATCCACCTATCTCCTGGATCTTCTCAGCTGTAAGAGCTAAACAACTCACCACTGGCCGATCCACGGAGATTGTATTTTCAGCTTCCCTGTGAGGAACACAAACATGAGGGGGGTCTCAGTGTTACCAGGAGCAAGCAGGAAACACAGAGAGCATTTACTCAGGTCACACCATGACTTCTCAGAGCTAAGTTGGGACTGACCTCAAGAGAACCCCAGGAACTAATATCCCCTATGTGTACCGTCCCCAGAATCCAAGTACAGACACACAGATTCTCGTTGGCTTTGCCCTGAGTTCCCTAAAGGCATGACCTAGCCACCTACCCATAGACCTTGTGCTTCTTTCAGGGACAGAGATCAGAGTGGCAGGGCCAGTGAACTCATCTGTGGTGGCTGAGAGGGCAGAATGTGGCCTTGTTGGTGTTTTGGCCACCCTACCTAAAAGTTCAGTCATCCTCAATACCTCCTATTCCTTGCCCATACTTAATTTTTTCTCCTTATCACTTATCAAACTCTAACATGCTATATCTCTATATCTATCTATTATCTATCTATCTATCTATCTATCTATCTATCTATCTATCTTTCTATCTCTATATCTCTCTATATATATCTTTTCCTATATGCACTGTTGTCTCATGCTAGAATGTTGAACTCCATGAGAGCAGGGATTTTTTTTCTGTTTAATTCACTGCTCTATTCTCAGTAAATATCTGTGGGATAACTGACTGACTGACTGAACAGGGGAGATGTGGCCAGTGGCTCAGGAGTGGAGGAAGAGGTGCAGCCTGGTCAACATATCTCAGGACTCCTGGCGGAGACAGGTCGAGCTGCCTCGTGCCTTTAGTTTCTGGATGGGGACACGTGGGCCTGTAGGAACAGGTAGGGTAAGCAGGGCTTGGACTCACTCAGAGAGGTTCCTCTTTTCAGAGAAGACCCGGAGAATGAATTCCCCCTCCTGGTGGGGCTCGTAGGTGGAGGGCACGATGACGTACTCGCTGGGAGGCAGGCGGAAGCGCTCGGACACCTCCCGCATGTTGATGTAGGTTTTGCTCCTGGCCTTGGAGGCGTTGTACAGGAAGAAGTCCTTCTGCAGGTGCTGCTTGTTCCCGTGCATCTGAAGGAGAGAAGAGCCCAAGGGACTTGAGCCCCTCGGGAGGGACGCCCTGTCCTGCTCACAGTCCCCCTCCAGGGGTCCCTTCCCAACTTCCTGGTCACCCAGTTTACAGTCATGACCTACCTACTTATGATTCCCAAGGCCTCAAATAGCTCAACATCCTTGGAGCTCCCTACCCCATTTCCTCTTCCTTTTCTGTTGTGATTCAGAAGTGAAGGTCAAGTCTATCATTGCCCCACTCAGGGTCACTTACCAGAACTGCCTGCTGGTCAACTCTGAATCACCTCCAGTCCGGGGAGGGACCCCAAGAAAGCAGGAGGGGACTTAGCTGGGGTCTGAGGGAGGCAATTCCTCTATCCCAAGGAGGACAGCACCCCTCAGAATGTGTCTGTGTGAGTGTGAGTGGGAATATGTACGAGTGTGAGCGGGGTTGGTGTCAGTGTGAATGAGTGAATAAGAATGTGAAAGTATGTGTGTGACAGTCCCTGGTGGGAAGAGAGGAGGGGCATGTTATGAGGGTGGTAGTCAGGAGGTTATACACCTGCTCTGGAGTTGAGGAGCGCAGGTAAGGCCCTCTCCTAGCATAGTCCCACCCACAAACCCCACCAGGAAACTTCTTGATGTGCCACAGACCGACACAGGACCCCCACGTAATGCTGCACACACTGCTGGCTGCTGCCACTTCTATACCTCTTTGGGAACCTTGAAGAAAAACAAAAAGAAGAGGCTCAGATTTTGTGGATCTCAGATCTGAATGGGGATGAAAAGCTTGCAAGAAGGGAATGCCGGCAACTGTAGATGGAATGCAGAGGTCTGACTCCCCATGTACCTCACTGGCCACCCCAGCCCCACTCTACCAACCCCACCCTGGGGTTTTCCCACTCGTTACAAATATCTAAGAAGTTCTGACACACATGGACCTGATATCAGGAGTCCTAGGGGGTCACTGAGTATTGAGGAAGCCAGAGGAATCCTCCGGAAGCCCCGAAAGCCTCCTCCCTGAGAAGGTGTGCGTTTTCTGGGCTGAAGCTGCTTGGGGACTGCACACCTCGTAGATGGCGAAGCCGATGGTGAAGAGGTTGGCCCCCAGCTTCCGGTCCTTCCGCCGGTTCTTCTGCATCAGGGCCACCAGGAAGCTGCAGATCACCTCAGAGTCATCAGGGTCATCGTCCTCCTCCAGGAGCTTCAGACGGTACTGGGGGTTGGTCCAGAAAGTGTCTGTGCCCCCCCAGAAAGGAAATGTGCATTCAGATCTGCCTCTCGGAGAAAGGGCAGGAAGGGAAATGAGACAGGGAACCTGTTAATCTCCTGCGTCTAGGTGCTCAATAAATATGGAAGGAATGAGTCAGGCATTTGTCTAATTATTTGGGGGGTGGAGGGCTGGTAGCCTGTACCTTTATACAGATGGAGCTGCATTGATTGGCTGCGTGCTTCTTCCTTCCGCTCTGAACTTTCATCCTCAGCCTTTGCTGATGGCTTTGCTTTCCTCACCTGTCCCTTAAATGTTGTTGGTTCCTGGAATTTGGTCCTAGGCCTCTTCTCTCACCCCACCATTCTGCCCCACTAGGCTGTCTTATCCACCTACAATTTTTAACTGCCCTCTACATGTTGAAGACGCCTGAGCTATAGATCCCAGCCTCTTGCTTTTGACTCCCTCCCTCCTTTCCTTCCTATCTCCCTTCTGTCTTTCTTCTTTTCCTTCCTTTCTTCTTCTTTCTATCCTTCCTTCCTTCTTTCCACAAATACATATCGAGTTCCAATTATATAACCAAGCACCATTCTAATCTGTGCATCCAGTTCTCTATCACACATCTTCACCTGGATATTCTACTTCCCATGTCCCAAGCTAAACTCTCCTCCCTATAACCCCACAACAACAACACGCTGATGGTTTTCTCCTGTGTATCTTATATTGTGACATGGATACCATCCACTCAGGCCCCCAAACTGGGACTCTTGAAGTCATTCTTCATTCTTCCTTCCCCACATCGCCCCGTATTCTTTCCCCTAAGCCCGCTTCCCTCCATCTGCTGCACTTGACTTGGCCTAGGCTTCCATCTTCCCTGGCGTGAACTCTTGTAGTAGCTGCTCACTTGGTCCTCCAGTCCCATTCTCAGCATTATAACACAGTATTTTTTTTTTTTAGGCGAACCCATCCTCCCACTGGTTGCAGCTCAGCAGCAGCTCAGCTTGGGCCGGGATTTGAACCACTGTTGCTCAGAGCTTGCACTCTTGAGCGAACTCTTAACCAACTGAGCCATTCGGCCGGCCCTGAACACAATATTGTTTTGACACAATGTCCTGTTTAAAAGTTACTAACCTGCTATTGCAAGCTCCTCAGCATGGCGATTTCCTTCTCAGTAAAATAGGGAGGGTTTAATAAATAATGTATGTCTGGGACTTAGTAGAAACTCAACAAATGCTAGTGAATATTATTCTACCTGGGACTTGTTCTGTTTGGACCCCTCCCCATCCAGAGCATCTCCCACCTGGGAAGTTGCGGCAGCCTCCAGCGGAGCAGCCCCTCACCCAGCGGCCCTCATTCACGGACACCGTCCAGGTCTGAAGCTTGTCGGACTCCAGGGCATCGGCTGTGAGGTTGCAGATCTCCAGCTTCGTGAAATGGTAGATGAAATCGTCATATGACATCCTGAGAGGTTGGAAGAAGAGAGAGACCCATATGGGAGGCTGGCTGGAAAAGGTAAGACTCTAGGGCTCACACAGCACAATAAAATAGTCTAGAGGAACTTGGTCACTGTCCCAGAGAGGACCCTGTCCTCCCTTTTTAGGGTAAACACTGTCAGTTCTGATGTATTCATCCCAAACTATCATCTCTATCAATGTGTCCTTGATGGGAGAGTTGGCAGCAATTCAGTTCTCCAAAAGGTTATCATGTGACTGTCCACTGGCACCCAGGCAGCATACAAGTTATAAGAAAGAGAGAGTTGGGGAAGGACAGACAATGAAGCAAGCAATCTTAAGGGTGATGAGTATCACAGATTAATCCCAGTCCTGGGAAGACAAGGGGGTCCCGAAGAAAGTTCCCTTTAAGCTGAAACTTGAAGGTAGAGTAGAAATGACCTGAGTGAAGGTGAGAGTGGCACTGGGTGAGCAGAGAAAGTAGCGCTTCCTAGGCTCAGAAAACAGCTCTGTGAAGGCTGGGGAACAAGAGGTTGGAGCAGTGTGCAAGATGGAGGGGCACAGGTGAGGCAGGAGCCACATCATACTGGTCTGGTCCCTGGCTCAGCCGTCACCGGGACCTGGCAGGCTCCTTTTAGAATCTTATCCTTTCTGGGCCTCCAGCTGGAGGAGAACAGGTGCTAGATCTCCCAAAGGCTGGAATCTGTCCAGGAATTGAGGTTTGAGATTTCATCTCCCTGCCTCATCCCTTACCCTTTGGGGTTCTCCTGGGTCCTGGACTCACCAGAACTCTCCACACTCAGTGACCTGGTGCTGCAGACGGGCCTTCTCGTCTTTGTCCACAAAGCTCCAGTCCTTCCAGCTGAAGGGAAAATGGAGGAATTATAGAAGGAAGAGAAAAGGAAGGCCTGATGTGAGTTGGGACAGGAGGTATCAAAGAACTACAAAGAAGTTCAAAGAGTAGCCCATCTGCAAATTGCAGCTAGTGTGACCATCAAAATGCAAATCTGATCTGATCCCCCTCCCTGTGAAACCCAATAATTGCTTCCTACTAGCCTCACAATTAAGACCAAACTCCTTAAATGAGTTTATAAAGGCTTGACCTTTCTCTGGCTGAATCTTTTACCCCTCGTCACACTTTAAAGGTTAGGAGTTGGGCTCTGGAAATAAACTGGGATTCCAATTTAATAATACCAGTACCAGCTATGGAACCACGAACAAGTCACTTCACCTCTCTCAGTTTCTGTTTTCTCAACTACAAAAGGGGAATGATTATCTATCACCTGCTCACAGAGCCGTGATGCGCAATACATGAAATAATGCATGCAAAACTTGTAGAACAGTGCCTGTCGTCTAATAAGTAACTGAGTTACTAAGACAAAGACCAGGCATGTAAACATCTCCTTTCTCCTGCCGCCCCAGGAAACAAAACAGCCCAGCTTATGTTTTTAAAGGCTGAGCGGTTTTATATACAGTCTCTCTCCTGAAGAGGCAGGAAATGAAGCACATCTGTGTTTCAGGCATGCTGAGGAGAATGAAACTAAACTGGTTGTCCCTGGAAAGGAAAGGGATTGAGGAAATACTTAAAGTCAGGGAATGCTGGAGGGAAAATGGAGATTCCTGAAACCAGAAGGAGGGATACAGTGGGGGAGGGGAGGCTCCTGGAGTCACCAAGGGCTGGGCCCCATTTGTCAGCAGTCTGTGCAGGGGAGGTGTTGGCAGGAAGTGGGTTAAGGCTGGACACCAAACTCTGAGGCTGGGGAACACAGTGAAGTTCCCTGTGGGGTCTTGAGTTTATGGAGTGGACAACTGATGGGGTACCAAGGTCCCAAAGCAGAGAGCCCAGTTCAAATGCCACTCCCTCCAGGCAAACTTTTTCTACCTTCCTGTCCCACCCAAACTAGGAGAGAGGATCTCTCTTTGTGACCCTCACTTGGCAGTTATCTCACTTAATCATTATTAGTGTTTGTCCATCCTACGGGACCATAAAGTCAACAGGAGCAGGGCCTGGGTCTCTGTGTTCATTTTTGAGTCCCCAGACTGTAGCATGGGACCTGGCACACACTCGGCACCATGGAACTAAGGAGTTGTCACATGGATAAGTGAAGGAAACAGTAAGGAGACAAGGACCAGCACCCATCACAGTTTCTCGTGGGAGGCTGCCTTCCCACGGAATATCCCCAGTGCTTAGACCTGTGCCTGCTATTCAGCACCTGCTATAGGTGCTCGGTAAATACTTGCTAAGTGAAGGAATGGCTGAATGAACCTGTCATTACGGTGCCCCGGGATGAGAGGTATGTTAAGGTCAGCACAGGGACTGAAGGACACACACAGCCTGGTGTGGTCCTTCTCAGCTACTGAATAACAGCGGAGCTCACGGGGCTGCCCTCCACTCAGTAAGGCAGTCAGGAACTAGTGACTGGGTGGAACCATAAAGTCAATGTTCTGGAGACTTCATCATGACTTCCCCATGTTTGTTATTTTTGCTGCCCCCAGTCTGTGGCTGTCAGTGATAAACAGTAAAGTTCTTTCAAAGGGCTTGTGCACCATTTTGGGGGACAGTGAGGGAGAGGAGAACTTAGCACTGACTAAGTACTCTCCAGACATGGTCACACTTTCTCCTCATAACAGCCCACCAGGGAAGTGCTGATATTGTTCCCATTTTACAGATAAGACAACTGGGAATTTGAGAAGGGAAATCACTTGTCCAGTCCAGACCCCTGCATTAAGACTCCCCTCCTACCTGGACCTAGCCCATGCTTTCTAGAATCTTTCCTTTCCAGACAATGGACATCAGCAAATTCTCTGGCTCCCAGGTGCTCCTGGCTCCGTTCCTAGCCCTTCCCTGGAGCCCACATCCCCTCTTCTCTTTTGTGGATCATTGGTTTTGAGGGTAATTGTAGATCAAGCATTTGTACTGTGGAGGCTTTGTACCCACCCAGCCTTGCCGCAGGCCCTGTTGTCCCTGCTTGTGGAATTCCCCCTCACCTACCCGTCACTCCAGGAGCCGGTCCACTCCACCTGGCCCCAGGGATTCCGCAGCCGCACCAACTTCACTTTCTCATCCTTGAACAGGGTCTTGGGCAAAGAGAAAAAGCTCTCACTCTCTGGGGATTTTCTGGAAAGGGAGATTTTTCTGTCGTGCCCTGAGGACTGGGACAGGGATGGGGGGAGAATCCCATCCAGGGGGCTGTCTTGCCTGGTCCTGGTCAAGGAGACTAATCTGAAGCTCCCTGTGGAATGGCATGGTGAGAGGTCAGAACCTGAGGACCAAGTCTGTGGGACTTGGCCATCGCCTCACCATCTTCTCAGAAGTGATTTTCCCAGTGAACATCCAGCCATTATGAGCTTTGTGGATGGAGGCAGGGCATATACTGTAGGGCCCCAACTAGCACATTAGGTATCTTTGTGTGAATTAGGAAAAATGTCCCTACTGCCTGAGGAACTACAGACAAATGTCCTATGTAGATGGACCAATCAGAAAAAGTGCCCCTTCCTGCAGTCTGCTGTATGGGCTGCTGCAGAGGACTGCCTAGCTCTACCCAAATATACACAGTGGGTCTGAAAAGGTTCCTGTCTCTGACATGACCCAGTAAAGGCCAGATGTCCCAGGAGCAAAACCATAATTGTTTGGCCATGAGACAACAGGAAGCAAGAGGGTCCATGAAATCAACTTCATAAGACCAAAGTGATTTCTATTTGTTCCTTGGAAATGTTGGGGAAATCGCCACCTTTAGCACTAAAAACAAAGATCAACGGAGCAGCATCTGGTGGCAAGATCCACTCCTACCAGTCCAAACGGTCCTCTCACACCCCAGGAATTTAGCCTGAGCCTTGAGCAGATCTCCTGATTGGAGGCAAGCTCTGCAGATGTGAAGGGACAGAAAGCTAAGCCCTGACTTTGGGAGCTTGATTCAGGTAGCTCCTCAAGTCCCGCCTCTCCAAACCCCACCAACTCACCTCCTCCAGCCCAGTGACAGAGTAGGCATGGCCCTTGACGAGCCCACAGGCCATTCTTGTCTCATAGTGAACTGGAACAATTGTCTGTGGAACAAAAACCAGACAGTCTGTCAGGGGCTGGGGGGCAAAAGTCCTGTAGCCTGAGACAGTTCATACTGGTTCATCTTCTGGGTTCTGTGAGGACAAGGGCTCCTCCACAGTCGGAAAGTGTGCCTCCTGGCGATGAGAAGACCCTTAGATATTATAGGAGACACATTAAGAACATCATTCTTATTGGC